TAAAATTGGTTTGAACAAAGAAAAAAAAATTGGGCTTTTTATAAGAGTTTGTAGTCATTGTACAACAAATATGAAAATGGATCTATCATATTGTCATGGGGTTGCTGTTTTCGTGAGTTGCTTAGTGCTACTCAAAATTCATGTGGAAAGAAGCAATAAGCTTGAGAGGTATAAATATTTAGATTCACATGTAAAGAAGAAAAGATAAAATCCAAAATGAAAAAAGACATTTACATTCATTAAGACAGTTGACATAGTAAATACGTGGAAAGATCGAAGATGTTACAACTTTTTTCCTATGAACCATGCTTCATCTTCTTATACATTGAAGGGTTCATACAAGAGAAAATGGATAGTCTTTGCTTCTTTGGTTTTACATCAAAGATAAATGATCTCAGAGGAATACGAGTTCTGCTATCTTGCGAAGGCGAAGAAGGTTGAATACTCGAATGGTTCTTTGATTCGGAAAGCGAAAACTCCTCTTTCAATCTCTCAAGTGTTTTATCAGCTTCCATTTTCAGTTTGGTAACTTGATCTAAACCTGTTTGCAACTCTTCTGAAATCTTTTTGTTTTCCTTTTTCATGTTTGAAACTTCACCTTCAAATTTAGCTCCTTGGTAAATCGTAAACTTCATTTCAGAATCTTCATAATCTGTTTTGAGAGCTTCTGTTATTTCATTTTTTATGTCACTCAAAGTTGAAGCTCTTAAGTTGATTTCTTCCTTTAGCAGCAAACTTTTCTCCAACCAGATGGTTAGTTCATTGCGGATCTCGCTAAGGTGTTTGTAAATGGGACGAACATTCGATCTTAGGGAATGCTTATCTTGATTCTTTTGTTCCGTGATCTTCAATAGCTCAACATGTAAGTCCTTAATCCCAACATCAAACTGTTGTATCTGGCCAAAAGAGTTGCTAAACCTCACCAACAAATTCAAATTCTCGCTTAGTAATGCATCGATTCGTGCTCCGAATTGATGTTCGTTTGGTGATAACATCAGCTTCTGACCAGCTACTGAATTTGTTGCATTATCTTCTTTGTAAATTAGCATGAACAATTTGTCCTTTTGTTGATCCTTGGCTCCAACTTTTTGCAGATCATCACCATTACTCTTATGGATTGAGGCTTTAACTTGTTCATCTTCCAAGTTGTTTTCACTCTTCGGTTTTGTTTCTTTTTCATCTAACATCTTCTTGAGTTCCTTGTAGTTCCTAAGTAGTTTCGTGTATTCGGTTACCAAATGGTTCTCTCTACCTTCTATTCCATGAGCTAGCAACTTCTGCAAGAATGCTTCATCTTCAGTTTCAATGTCTGATTTTGGAGATAATGAAGCTTCCTTTCTTGTAGTTTCAATTGTCTCTTCTTGGTTAACTTCATCGGTATAATCTCTTTCAGTAGTAACCACTTCAGATGCAACTGAAACATTTGTATTAGTCAAAGATTCTGTATCTTGAATTAACACATTAGTAGCCTTGAGTTCTTCATTCCCTTCTTGCTTCAAGGTATTTAATCTCTCAGACAAGAAACTTAGCTTTACATAAGCTCGTGTAAGATGTATTTCAATGTTCCCACTATGTTCTTCAACTCCTTGGTCTATATCCTTAATACCTCTAAGCTTTTCCTCCATCTCTTTTAGCTTGTTTTCATCAGTTATAGATAAAAAATTTCCCTTTTGCAAAGCTAAAATATGTGCCTTAAGATCATCGATTTCTTCGCGTAGCCTATGTATCAAAGCTGCTTGAGATGAGAATAAACTCTCCAAACTCATCACATCGTTCACAAGCTCATCGATCTTATCAGCCACATCTGTTATGTTAACACATGACTTAGCCTCAGAGTCAAGTTCTTCATTTACCTTCTCCTCTAATGGTTCCATTTTTACATTTCTATTGTCTATTTCATCACTAAGACATGCATCAGAAAGAGTACCAAATTCCTCTGTTGATTCTTTGATCTGTTTTCTTGTAATCTCAACTTCTCTTACATTCTTTTCTTGTTTATCTCTTAGCTCTTCTAGTTTCTCTTGACATGATTTGAGAGCTGTCGTTGACATCAAAATCTGAGCTTCTTTATCTTCTATAACAACAACACTTTCTTGAAACTCATCTTGTAAACTACAAACCCTTCCTTGTTTCTCCATAATGATATTCTCAATCTCCCAATACTTTGCAAGTCCATTCTCATAAGAACTTTTCACAAACTCTTTCTCAGTTTGTAAAACAAGAATCTCTTTCTGCAACTTATCAATCTCTTCTACCGCCTCGGTTTTACTCAATCCGGACTTGTTAACAGCAAGAGAGGAAGAGGCATGATGTTCTTTAAAAGATTTCCTCGACTTGAACATCTTTGCAGCTTCAATAGGCAAATCAGGAACTTTTGGAATGTTTTTATTGTGATTTTTATGGTTTCTTGGAGAGATAGGACCGGTATCATCGTCTTCGTTCATTGCAAACTCAGGGACTTGGTCAGGAAAAACAGATGCAATTGTTGTGTTAGCGTTTTGAAGCTCTTTAGAGATATGATCATACCGTTCTGCTAAAGCGCGATAAGCTTTGAAAGATTCTTCGACGAAACTTATCAATTCGGGTCTTCTTTTGTAATACATTTCTGCGCGCTTTGCAAATGAATCACCTTCATCTTCCAAAAGCTTAAGCGCGTTTTCGACCTTCTCTTCGATATCTTATAATCAAGAGATGGAAAAACATTTTATCAGAATTTTTTTTGAAACGATGAAAGAAGTGAATAATAAATAATCTATGGAGGTTAATATGTATATGTTACCTTGAAGGTTTTCTTCGAGCCATTTGGATTGTTTGGTTCGGACATGGCTTGCCCACCACCATGAGTATGCATTACTCGCAGCTCTTCGTAACATTCTTAATTATTTCTCTAACCTTTCTTTTTAATCAATACATTGAACAAAATCTCATCTTTACTTCAATAACTTTTTTTCTTAAGTTTTGTTTAGAAAAACCAAACGAGAGGTGT